CCAGTCTGTTTATCGCATCAGTGGCTATTTGTGCCTGCTGAGGATTGTGGCAGCGAGCTTCTACCATCTCAAAGAACTGGTCTAAGGTAATAGACTGAGCCCAGTCCGCCATACGTCGTCCATACCCGGCCTTTGAAACTATACCATCTAGCCATTTGGCTGCCTTACCCTCAAGGTAAGATGCAGCAGTAATCACCTCCTCCTCTGGCAAGGTCCTCTTCGCCTTCACCCAAACCGGAACTATTCTCAACCAAGTGTTGAGTTCTTCGTCCTTCCTCTCGCCTGAGAAAGCAAGAGGCGGTTTCATTGGGGTCTTAGGGTACCATTGACCTTGCGGCTGTCCCTGTTGAGGAACAGGTTGCTGCATTGGTGTAGCTCCCACCGCTGGACCCGAAGAAAAAGAAGCAACAGTCCGTGCAACTGCTGCAGACGTGCCACTTGGTTGTGTGCCAGCTTGAACTGGAAAGGGGCCTGGCATCGCCATTAATGGCAACGGCGATTGTGCTGGTGGCCTAAATCCTAGCCTTGTCAGAATATCCAGGATCTGGTTTAGAGTGCTCTGCATGAAGTCCAATCTGCTGTCCACGTGCGCATGCAACGACAACATATTGTTCTTCAGTACTTCATCTGGTCAGATAGTCCTGACTCATCCAAGCCCTCTAGTTCAGCTTTGTCAGCCGCTAACGTATCAAGCCTGGCTGTTCTAATTTTAATCTCTCTTTCTCTATCGGTTGCTTTCTTCAGATCTCTCTCCAATTGTTCACGAATCCTTTCGACCTGTTGGAGCTCTCTTAGCTCCCTTTCGCGTGGGGTCAACGGGCTGAACTGTGAGCCCGCCATCTGACTTGTAGACTGTCGAGCTCCTAATGAACTGGAAGTACCCGTGGACCCTGTGGGCATTCCCAACTGGGTCCCATTGGTCCCAGACAAAGCCGCAGAGGATGCTGCCGAGCTAGTCATGGCTGCTGCCCTGGCTGCTGCTGCAGCCTGTTCCCTAGCTGTGGCGTTTGCTGTTTCCCTAGCTGCTGCTAGTGCACGGGCTCTACATTCGGCACGCAGCCGTCCTTCTTCTCCCGGTTCCAGGGCCCGAAACACGCGCGGGATCCTTCGTGATCTCGAACGTGTCAGTCTAGTATCGTCATCTAGTCCCACATCGATGATTCGTTCATCAATTAGGCAGACATTATCTGCACTAGAACCCCCTAGTGGAGTCCTACCACAGCATGTGTCTGACCGGCACCTAATTTTCTAAAAATAGTTGTGTCCGGCAGGTCCCCTACTATACCGATCAAGCGGCAGCCCTACAACATTCACATCAGATTGTCAACATAGTCTGTGTGTATCCTGATTGGTTCACTTACAGCAGCAATAGATAGAACTGGCTATGGTAGCATACAACAGTCCTAATCTAATCTATCTGTGAGGTGTTAGCAGTCTGTCCACCAACTAATCAAGAATACAAAAAGACAATGTTGCAGATGTATGAATGGTGGGTATTGTTGTTTATCCAGTTGAGCATCAATTAGAACCTACCCTTCCCCTCAATCCAACATACCGGTAAGCATCATTGAGCAAGCGGTGTCTTCGTGTGTGTGTCGGCCCACCCCTGTGCCCAAGTC